ATTTTTCACACTAATAATTCAATATACATTATTACTTAAGTTCATATTTGAAGTGAATTAATTTGTCAAATTTTGTTCACCTGTGCTCTATTCAACCTACTATCAACAAAATTATTGCAGTAAATGGAGAGGAAAAAAGCGTATGCCTAGCTAATCTTAATCTAAAGTTCAGAAGTGAAAACAATTTGCATTTCGTCACCACCCCCCGCATTAATTGGATTATAACTCTTTTAATTCTGATTTTATCATAACTTGTAATATACTATTTTAAAGGTGATTAAATGAGCTACAACTTTCTCTATCATAAATTTTACCGTAACTTCTCTTATTTTGAAACGGCGAAGGGTTAAAGGGCTCGGAAGACACTCCGGTTGGACAGCCGCGCACTCTTTAAACAATTAGAACTCTATCAATGTTTGTGTAACAAAAAATAATAAAAAGCAATAATTAGTCTGAAAAATACCTTGAATTTTCATATATATATATATACTTTTATACGTATTCTTTCAGAGATATTATAATGAGAAATTGCTTTTTTTTAAATGGATTTTTTTATGAAATCATGAGTTTTTTGAAAATCGTTTGTACTAATGTTATGGTATTTTCTAGAATCCATCAAGATCTCTCAAACCAAGTTAATTCTAGATGGAAAACGATTATTTTTAATTTTGGTGGAAATGGCACTCATAAACTATTTGATTTAAATGAAAAAAAAATATTGTATGCGTCTTTTAATTGCATGATAGCTCACTCATTTTACACGCAGAAGTAATTAACTTAATATTGTTCCTAGAACACTGTAAAAAAGCGATTTATTAGATTTTTTATTCATATAATTTTGTTCACTACATAATTTTCGTTAAAATGTATATTTTTGAAGATATTAGCAAAAAACGATGAAAAACGCAAAAAAGAAACAAATTTTCAGTAGCCAGTAACTTTAAAAGTATTTGAAAGTTTTTTGAAAAACATTATTAAACATTTTTTTCTTATAATTAGTTCTTTTATCCACACCCAACGTTATTACACCACTGAAAAGAAATGGCATCCCCCCGGGTAGTGCAAAGGAGTCTAAATTGTTTTCACTTTTGAACTTGAGAGTAAGATGAGCCTAATTCCAAAATTCCAAACGAATTGGAAAATAGTAAAAAAAAGTTCAGACCCAAAGCGCTCCATTGAGTAAATATTCCGTACAAAATGCCAACCATATGAATTTTTGACACAATGAAACTTCTAAATAATTTTTTGAATAAGTAATTTTTTTTTGTATTGTGACTTAGTATAGTAAGGCAAAACGACCGCAAATTGAATATTTTTGAGCGCAATCACTTATGGCTCGTCTCCTTTGCAAGAATTCGTACGGCGAATCTGTTCGCAAAGTGCGCAGACAAAATTATTGCAAGCAAAAGCAAACCACGCGCACGTTGAGAACACGATTCGCCGTGCGCGTCAGTCGCATGCGCAGACTGTCAGACGCATGTTATATTATTGGCATCTTATATTTATTTAATTAGGGCACATCTCAGCTGCTTTTCGACAATATTAATGTAGACATTACATTTTCTTTATTTTTAATCATGAATTTATTATATTTTAATATTGCCTTAGCCTATAAGTGAATAGAAATGTTTGGCAAATGACAGTTGTCATTTGTTTTTAATGTCAAACCATGCCTTAAATATTTTAAAGGTCAAACAATGATAAGCGGCTTTTTGCAATTTTTTCCATTTATTTCTACAATCTAACTATATTTCTATAAATCAAAACATTCTAGAAAATTTCCAGAACAAACTTCAGGAAGATTCATGAAAATCCGAATTATAGTTTAGGAGGATTAATGAAACTTACATTGTTACAGAAGAATTTTATATATAAGATATATATATATATATATATATATATATATATATATATATATAAACAACTAGCAAACCCGACGAACTCCGTTTCGCCACCAGATGGTTTCGTGAGAAAGATGAAGAAATTTTTGTTTGTTTTATATTTGAAAAGGAAAAATTTGATCAGAAAAGAAAACCCGACTTATTTGTATACATATATAGAAAATAATCTATTTGCAATTATTTAAAACAATTGCAATTATTGATTATTTTTAAAACTCGAATTTTTAATTACGGTGCGTGAAGTTCCAGCAATTTGCATTAGGGCATGCACCACTAATTTTCTTAGCTATAAACCTTGCGGAGCCCGAGACCTTTCCAGCGAATGCAAAATTGTCGAAATCGGTTCGTGCGTTCTGTAGTTATTTCGTCAGGAAGGAAAACCCGACTTATTTTTACATATATAGAAGATAATCTATTTGCAATTATTTAAAACAATTATTGATTATTTTTATTACTTGAATTTTTAATTGCGGTGCGTGAAGTTCGAGCAATATGCGTTAAGGCACGATGCCATGCACCACTAATTTTCTTAGCTATAAACCTTGCGGAGCCCGAGACCTTTCCAACGAATGCAAAATTTTCGAAATCGATTCGTGCGTTCTGGAGTTATTACGTCAGGAAGGAAAACCCGACTTATTTTTATATATACGTATAGAAGATAAGAGTAAATAACATTTACTGTAATCTGAAACTTCAATAATTTAACATTAATATATATTATAAAATCAATTTTGTTTAGCTAGTTTCCAGGGGCGTAGCGTGCATTGGCGGGGCCCCGTATCAAATTTTTTTGGAGGCCCCCTAAAGCAGGGCAGAATTTTCTCAATTTTTTTTTATAAATATTCACTTATCATCAATATTCATCTATCTCTTTTTCAAAACAAATGTTACAAACGATGCAAATTCAATCTACACATGTATTAAATCATTTATAGCTTATTAGTCAAAATAATTACTCAATGTCTTTTTATTTAGACAGATTGTAATTTATAAGAAAATAAAAAAAATAAAAAAAATTATAGCTTATAGTTTTTGATAAAGTTTCTGCTTCTATGAACAATAATGATCTGACTGCTGTTCCTGTATCATAGAAGTATTTAACTTCCTGAAAGAAATGTTTATATTTTTGCCAGAAAATGTTTGTTTACAACGATAGGCTGAGCCGATTCCTCGAAATTTAGAAAAGAGTGCTAAAATTTTCGCCGGAAATTTTGTTCGGAATATATCCCCCGGACCTCTTTTTCTTTTAAAAAATCATAAAAATTTGGAATAAATCTAAATTCTTATTGATTGTGTCGATTATTTACACATATCGGGAAATACAAGCAAAGTTCCCTAAGGCTTACAACTAATTAGCTAATTTTTTATCAGTTTTATTTTTGAAAAAAAATTTCAGCATTTACGGTTGCAATTGGTAAATTGTATGCAAAAATTACTTCGGGAAAATTGTAAGAAAAAGTATTGAATTGTGGCAGCAATATAATAAATATTGAATTTCACATTTTAAACATATTTTTAGAGAGTTTACAATTGGTTATAAAATGATGATTTTACTGTATTTAGACGAAAGTTTCATGAAGACAGGTGTTTTGCTAAATGACTAGTTGTAATTATTCGAACATACTAATTGAGTCGAAGTCTCTGATCTTTGTTTAGTTTGAGAAATTAATATGTATAATTAGCAATAGTATATGTTGAATTTCAAACAAGATTACGGGTTGCTATACTTTGCCTTTTGTTTTTGAAAACAGTCGTTTACGCTTCATTCCTTTGTTAATTTTTCGAGACATTTAGCAAACTGCTGAATTAATTTTAATTTCTTAAATTAACACTAAATGACTTTGCATAAAATGCTAGTTTTCTATTCTATCGCAGCCCTCTAAAGTTATATTTTTACATTCTACACGCTCATGTTTTATTCAAAATTAAATTTAGTTGCAAGAAAGTTTTCATGATTATTTTAACTTTTGTTATTTGTGAAATAAGATAAAAATTCTTAAGATTCTATTAATATTTGGGCAGGTTGGGCTTCCATGTCCCGGAAAAAATACACTTTAAAATAATAATTTTACATTTCTCGCGTTTTTTTTTTAATGCCAGTAAATTTTATTGAACATAATATTTGCTTACGGATGTTGGGGGCTCCCCTGGCCCGCGGGCCCCGTATTTTTGATACGGCTAATACGGCGGTAGTTACGCCTCTGCTAGTTTCTTATGATCAATATCAATTGAAAGAATACTTTTGTAACTTATTATGATCTAATCTTTCACTTTATCACCTTTTAGCAAAATGTATTATGTAAAAAGAAAATCGATTAGTTAAGTTTAATCTTTTTCGGATAAGGTTTTGAAGTAATCAGCATTCACATTAAGTAATTTAAAAATTGTGAAAACTATATAAATATGATGCGTGAAAGTATATATCATTTACCTTCGGAGTAAACCGATCCCGATTAAAACTTTGTCGGAGTAAAGTCTTAATTTATTTGTTATTGTTATGATTTTATTTAATAATTTTGGGTAAAATTTAGTTTATTCATGTTTTACTTAAACTCGTGCAATTATTAATGCATTCAACATTACTCTATTATCTAATTTTAATTGCATTTTTATAATGTATGAAGGTGTATTTTTTAAAACTATGAATGGTATGTTAACAGTTAAGCATTTTTTTAAATTACAATCTGTCACACTTAGGACATTCAGTAATTGTTTTTGACTTTATTATATGGAATTTTGAATGGGTGGCAACCCAGTAGTAGTCCAATCCAATTATGACTAATTAACTATACTCGAAGTATTTGTTGGCATTTTTTGTATATATATATATATATATATATATATAATATATATATATATATATGCAACTATACCTACAAGAGGCGATTTTCACTTAAGGCTATAATTGAGATCTATAACCTCAAGTGAAAATTTGACATCAATGTTGCCTGATGTCGGGCTTTGGCGGTAGATATAATAATAGAATATTTTTTTGTTCAAAGCTTCAAATTTAATAAATAAGCACGATTGAAGTTTGTTACTATATATCAAAGCTTTTACATTTTACCAAATTTTTACATACTGTATGTTTACATATAGATACAGCTGTTACTTGTTTCGACGTGGTGGAGAGAGATGTACTTGATGCATTGGTTGTTAAACATTGGGCCCTTAAAAGGGCCACACAGGCAGCCTGCACCGTGCTGCGAATTGATCACATCGTCATGGCCCGTCCAGCTGGTGCACCAACAATGCCAGCAGATGACCTGTAATTACAAATATTAGTTAATGTTCAGGATGCCTGGTCTTTGCTGTAATGTTTGTTGTGAACGATACATTTACTTTTGCTTTAGCGAAAAAAATCGTTAATAAAATTCAATTTAATGTATTCGTTGCTATAATATATTTGTTATTTTCATTTATTAATTATTATAATACTCTTTAGTTGTAGATCATAAATATTATGAAATTTAATCGTTAACAGTTTCTATGTAGTTTCTATGCTGTGCTTGCCACATACGTTTTCCAATGTATTCTCACCGCTGAACACGAATCCAAAGTCAAACTGAAAAAAACGGAGAAAATAAAATATATTGATAAAATGTCCAATTCAGAAGTTTTTCTGCATTATAATTGAGATATTATAATTTTGTTTCTGGTCCTTTTCTCCTTAAATGACCTGCGCAATTAATTTCTTCTTTAATCTCCGTTGAGTATCTTTTAATAGCACCTAGCAGTAATTTGCAAACTAATTTTATCCATAACTTTCATTGTGAACCTGTAAAATTCGAAAATGAAATTGCGGATATTACTATTTCTACGTACATTTTTATATTTTTGGCTGCAGCATATTTTATTATCTCTTGATATAATCATTACAGCTATATTTCTATACTTGTTTATAAATAATTGTCATTAAGATGAATTCCGCTTCTCATAATAAATTTGCGATATGATGTATTTTGCCGTTTATACATAATATACAAATTTCAAAAGTCAAATCGTTAGTAGAATTTTGCTATAATTCTGAAATTTTCATCACATTTTCATAAAATATATATTTATTTTATTACATTACATTCAACTCATGTTTAAATTTGCTATTTCTATAAAAGATGAGGTGCGTTGTGTACTTTTCTTAATCACTGTAAAAAAACACAAATTACCAATGAATTAGATACCTTTCCTAATGTTAATTTTTCAACTAGTTATTTTATCTATATTATATAAGATTTTATATACTATCGGTGTCATAATGAATGACCTGAATTATTTTGAATTGATTGATTTTTGTTTTATAATTCCTTCGGTAGTTTCAGATCTTTTGATGACTCAATTAAAATTTAATATTCAAATTATATTAGTATGCTAGAATTGATATTCAGTTAGATGGCTACTTATCTGATTTCCGGGGCCCGTGGCAAAATCTTCCGATGGGGCCCTATCGTGGTACTCAATTTTATTTTTTAGTTTTGTTTAATAAACGTTAAGTAGTCATTTACACACTGTTTTACTACTCGCTAAAACAATTATTAATGAATTTTATCACAAATTAGCAAACTAACTTCGACTAATTTATATTTTATGGCTTTGAATTATGAAATGATACAAAACATAGAAATTTTAGATCTAGAGGTATAATTATTTCGTGTTATGATTATATAAAAATAACAAAAAATATAAAACTTAATTTTTCTTGAAAATCAAACATGACATATTGGTGAATAGTTTAATTTTAGCATAATGAAAATGAAAATTAAACGTATTTTTTCGTTTCAATACTTTTTGGACGTTTTTTTTGATAAAGATGAAGACATTCGTCATGTAGCTTTTACTTAGAAATAATAGCGTGAACCCTGCATATATTCAAAATGAAATAAAAATAAATTGTTAACCTGAATAAGCTATTTAGTAAATAAAATGTTTTCTTACTGCTTTCATCAGTTATGAAAAGTGTCAACAGCGAAGAATTTCCTATTTCGCCTCTGAAAGTTGATTGAAAACTAAATTTGCCTGGCAAAATGGTACCATAAATTGATTTATGGTACTGATTCAGTACATAAAAAAAACTTTTGTTCAGGTTCTGAACCATTTTGCCAGGCAAATTTAGTGTTAGATCAACTTTCAGAGGCGGAATAGGAAATTCTTAGATCTTAGATCTTAGATCTTAGATAGATCAGTACTACTGATCTATCTATTAAATAATAGTTCTAAAATTTGTTTATATAAAAAGACATCCGAGTTTCTGATATGTCTTTTTTATCTAAATGAATTTTAGAGCTTTTATTTAATAGATCAGTATCATTGAAAACTTCTAGTGTAGAAAAATACTGAAGTTTGAAATATATTAATTCACCGGAAAAAACACGTTTTAATTTGTTAATAATGTACAATACTCGATAAAATATATTCGTTTAGAACAAACTTTCAGTATCTTGAATATGAATTCGCAAACCTTATCAAAATAGCGTATTACCTTCTTCTGAAGACTTTTAAAAAAAATCATGATTGATAAATTATTTTTCTACTACACTATTTGCGTCTAATTTTAAATTTCCAAATTCATGCTGATACTTAACAAATTCTTAAATGTTTATTTTTTAAATGTCTCTAATTCTTAACGAATTTTAAATGTTTATAGCTATGATTTATAGCATTTGAAAGCTTGATGTATTTAGGTTATAGCGCTTTAGATACTGCGTCGATAGTAGTAGAATATTACAATAGAAAACCAATAATAAAATAATTATTGGTCTTTAAAACTTCTTTCTATGTAAAATAGTTTCATTTTGGATTTCAACAAAACGAAGTTTTAAAGCAAAAATGGCAATGATAAAAGTAAATTTTATAATAGTAAAAAATTGTAAATTTTATTTCATTTATATTTTTTCTAGTTCCTTATTGCTATTTTATTAATTTAATTTTTACGGTTTAAAATCAGTATAATTTTCAACCTTGTTCAAGTATTTGAGCTTGACTCGTGGTTAAATAGACTTTAATATGATGAACTTACTGATGAACATTGTATTTTCAGCTCTTTTTTTTGAAGCGAAAATCGTGCAGATACTATGATTATTATAAAATTAATATCTTTTCAATATTAAATATTAATAAGCTTGACAAAAGCCTGAAATAATATTTATTATTATTGATTACGGCTTGCTTATGAATAAATAAATAAAAAAATAAATATAATATATGAAGCTTATAACAGGATCAGTTTTTAGAGCAGTTTACATAAAATGTAGGTAGTAACTTTATTTATTTAGAAAATCGCAATATAACAATTGTGATTACAGCAGAATTATGTTTTGTGCAATACTGATGTTTTCAAAA